AATACTCAGCATACAACATAGAGTTAAATTAAGCCATGGGATGACTACTTTATTTTGGGAATTATAATGTAAGTTAAAGATATAATAAAAGTGCCAAAAATCATACAATAAAGTAGGAAAACTGCAAAATGTTTTTTAACTTCTGAGGTAAAAAGAATAGAATTCAGATTATTTCCTGTATTTATAATACTCAAGTAGTGCTAACAAGTCATCTTAAAGTAGGTAATAAATTAGTAAATTGTTGGTCTTAAATGTTTATTTGCCATTGTAAATATGGGCTTGCTTCACATTTATGGGAAAAAGTTTGACATGTGAATATTTCATTTGTGTAATAAAGTCGTTTATCCAGAAGTAGATTAAATGGGAATTATTGAATATTTTGCCAGTCACTATGGAGTATTTAAAATAATTACCATTTAATCCAGGTTATAGTAACCACTAATTGTAGCAGAAGTTACACACAAAATAAATTGGGTCAGAAACCCTATGGCAGCAGTGATGCATAACGGCTGAGTACAATGAGTAGCTTAGACATGAACTGTGAGGCAACTGTGAGATTAAACCACACATCTTGCTGTTGAAATTGATAGTAAATAATTATGCAGTGTCACAGCTGTATGCTTGTGGTTGCATATGATTTGTGTAAGTGGAAATGGCAGCTGGAAAGAATGATTATCCAGAGCAAGGAAGCAATGGGAGTTGCAAAATCCTGAATTACTGGACTAGGGGACCGGAAGGTGAAGGGGAAAGTGAAGGGGAGTGTTGGGGGTGCTCCTCGAAAGCAACACTAAGGAGTTTGGACATTAATCAGTGAAATGTGGAAGTCCTAGAAGCTATCTGAGTAAGGGAGTGACAATCAGAACTGCTCTCCAAGGAGATGCAGCCTGGGGCAGTGAGTGAAATAGCTCAGTGAGGGAGAAGCTGTTTCCTTCCTCACATCAGGTAGGAACCCACTGCAATGGTCCTTCTGAAGAACAAGGAGGATCAGGAGGAGGACAGTGGTTACTGGAATCAAAACACAGAGGCAGGTGTTGTGGCACAGTGGGATAAGCCACCCATTGAGACTTTTGCATCCCATATCAGAGTGCCAGTCCAAGTCCTGGCCACTCCACTCCTTATCCATTGTCTTGTTGATGCATGCTGGATACCAGCAGATGATGGCTCAAGTGCTTGAGCCCTTGCCTTCTTTGTGGGAGACCTGGATAGAGTCCCAAGCTCCTGGCTTAGGCCTGACCTAACCCTAGCTGTTGTGGGCCTCTAGGGAGTGAACAAAGTGGTTGGAAGACCTTTATGGCTCGTTTTCTCTCTCTCTCTCTCTCTCTCTCTCTCTCATTCTTGTTCTTATTCTGTTTATCCCTGCCTCCCCACTGTTCTTTCATTCAAGCAGATGAAGATAAACATTTTAAAAACAGGAGGCAAATGTTACAGACATCGCCAAAAGCAAATCATGAAAATTTGGCAATAATCTGCTGTGGTGATGTGCAGTGAGGAAAGGGGAGATCCAAAGCCTTCAGGACTAAGGAGAGAGAGCCAGAACTGGAAGGGGGAGCAATGTGGTAATGGAGGCTTTGGGAGGCACTCAACCATATGGCAGAGGCTGGTTGCATTTCTAAACATGCAACATTTGAAATGACAATGGGATAACCTGAGGAGACATGCAACTGTAAGTTGTAATTAAGATCATAGAGATTGGGAGAGAAAAGTGAAGGCCAGAAATGAAGCTGTGTGAATAATTTTCAGACAGATTATTGGTGAATTCAACAGGAATTGCATGATAATATTAAGAAAAGTTCAGGGTGCACGTACTACCGTGAAATACTTGGAGACTCAGCAAGTAGGAGTCTCTTACTGAATAAATACAGGAATAAAACAAAAAGTTCAGTGTAAATACCACAAAATACATGCAAATAGACTCAACTTACAATTACAAAATAGAGCTTCTAATATGTTCGTAAACAAAATCTGTTTCTGATTTTAGGAAATCTGCTTAACACAAAGCACAGAAAAGTTGAAGGAAAATTCATGGGAATTTTCTATCCTGGGAAATTCTGAAAGGAAAGGAGCTGATATAAGTGTATTAATATCAAGTGAACTGATATGCAAGGCAAAGGCACTGTGAGGAATAAGTTCACAGAATAGAGATAGAAAAATAACTGAGTAGGAAGTATAGCTATTGTAAAAGATAGAGCCTAGTAATGTAATCTCAAAGTACATAAAGCAAAAATGTGACAGATCGTATGCTTTTTAAGGATGAAAAAGCACTAATTCCTGAGTTTTTTTTTTAAGCCCTTCCCTCAATTCTATATTCCCATTTATTTATTTATTTATTTTTGACAGGCAGAGTGGACAGTGAGAGAGAGAGAGAGAGAAAGAGAAAGGTCTTCCTTTGCCGTTGGTTCACCCTCCAATGGCCGCCACGGCTGGCGCGCTGCGGCCGGTGCACCGCGCTGATCTGATGCGGTGCATCGCAGCTGATCTGATGGCAGGAGCCAGGTGCTTCTCCTGGTCTCCCATGGGGTGCAGGGCCCAAGCACTTGGGCCATCCTCCACTGCACTCTCTGGCCACAGCAGAGAGCTGGCCTGGAAGAGGGGCAACTGGGACAGAATCCGGCGCCCCGACCGGGACTAGAACCTGGTGTGCCGGTGCCGCAAGGCAGAGGATTAGTCTAGTGAGCCGCAGCGCCGGCCTAATTCCTGAGTTCTTAAATTTGTCCCCAACTTAATGTGCTGTTGAAGACAGTTTTTTCTTTTTAATTTTTATTTTTCACGCAATCACATTGATAGAATTTAGGTCATCAGTTGGTTTCTAGGGAAATTTATCTTCTTAGAAGGTGACTGGCAGAGGGGAAGTGAATTCAAGAAGTAGAGGGAGTAGAAAGTATGGTAGTATGTAATAAAGTAGGAACAGTGGTAGTACCTCTGTATGATGACGGCATGAGGAGTTGCCTCCTGTACCAGGAGACTACAAAGGACCTATCAAGGCATGTCTTCCATGAGGCCACACACTTCAGAGGCCCAGGTTTGATAAACTATGCATGCACAGTGCAGGTCTTCATTATGAAAGTTGGAGTGCTGGGATGAGATATGTCGAGGCACTAGAATCAAAATCCCCTAGCTGGATTTGGCAATGGTTAGATTGGCCTCAGAATATTCTAGGCCATGTCATTTGTAAAGAGTCAAACTTGAATGATGCGAGACGAGGAACTGCACTCTGCCGCGTCCTTGTCTTGTGTGCTATGTTATGCAGCCTGATGACTTGGATAATACTTGGGCTCTGCAGGAAGACAGCCCTGGCTTGGCTCTCTGTGATTGTCTATCTCTGCCTCTCTCAGCCTCTGTTCCCTCTCCAGCCCCTGCAGAAACAAGCAAAAAAAAAAAAAAACAAAAAACCTATCTTGTGTGTATCTCCTTTGTAAAGCATCTAGTACTGTCTATGCACATAAATAGCCCATGAAAAATGATTTTATTATTTTTAAAAATCCTAACATTTCTGTCCAGATGTGGAGGGGAGATAATTTATTACTTGTGTAGAATGTGTTTCCTCAGCCTGGATCTAGGAATACCTCACATTTCTTGTAAATCTAGCCAGTCAACACACAGTTGACCTTTTTAGCAGGAACCACAACTAAGCAACATGACTGTTGGCAGGCAGAATTCCACAGAACAGGCCTATGACTTATCCAGCGGAGTTCATGCAGCTTCATTTTGTTTCATGGCATCAAACAGGTTCCTCACTGCCTTTCTAGGAAATTACAGGGCTGCTTAAATGTCTAGTTCTGGCAAGGTTGCAAGTTAGCACTGGCGAATACCAGAAGAAAATGCCCATTGTAGCCTACAGAAGCTCAGCGTGTCAGGTGCAACTTTGCATGGGGAGCAAATGCGCTGACATGCAGTGAGCTAACTTAAAGACTGGAGGGTGATGCACGTGGGTGGCATTTCAGAGTCAGTAGAGTCTCTCACTGAGTGACAGCTGTCAATCTGCTCTCTGGATTCTCTCTGCTAGGTCTATGGATGCCTAAGGATTAGAAGCCTGGTCCCATTCCTCTCATCCCAGACCCACAAGCTGCTGAAAGGCTTCATACAAAGGCTGTGTGAGAGATGGGTCTTGCCTGCTCTAATCAATCTCTTTTTAATGTTTTTCCACATTTTGTGAAAAGCAGTCGAGCTCAGCTGACCTTTGAGTTGTTCCTCCACCCCCGACACTCTTGCCAAGGCCTAACTGGAATTTATACAGAGTGACCAATTCTGCTTCATTGACTTCAATGAGACAATTTTGGAATAAACGTACTTCTCACCGAAATGAAACACCACTGGTTTTCAGGTACCGAGTCCTGGTTTCTCATTTACTGACACAGTGAGTCTGAGTTTCCTCCTCTGTGAGGTGAGAGAAATAATTGTCCTGCATCAGGACAGTGGAAGAGATCATCCAAGTTAATGTGTTGAGAGTGAGCTCCCTGCTTGGTATCGAGCAAGCAATTGTTAAACATTAGCTCCAGTTGTTTCTGCTTGCCCTAACTCATCATTCCACTTAGAAGACATTTTGCTTAGATGGAAGAATGGTTTCAGTAGCTCCTGGAGGATGTTTCACAAACAGCACCTGTTTCCAGCATTCCTTGGCTGGAATGCTGTGTGTCCATTTTCCACCTATCCAGATTAGCATCTGCCACCGAGGGCATTTCAGTGGGTCATTACTCATAAGCCAAAGTGAAGCCCCAACCTAAGAGATGATCAACTGATCAAGTGTGTACCAGGAGGAAACCTATTTTGTTTCTTCAACCCATTTGGTTGAGGCGATCAGTGACTTTCAAATGAGTTCCCGAAGGAAATGATGCTAAACCCTGGCTGCACACGCTCCATTAACTCCAAGGCAGAAAAAGCAGTGTGTTAGCTATTGAGGGAGCCAGTGGAACCTGAGGAGGGGTGTCAGCTCAGCCAGAAACAGCAAACAAGGAAGCATGGCAACATGGCAAGGGCCCTGCCGCCCTCGAGGAATTACCTACCAGTTCCTTCTTCTTCATGCACTCCATGAGAATGATGAACAGGTGCTGGGCTTGGGTTCGAGTGTAGGTGAACGTCTTCTGTATAGTCACCAACAGCTGGTCCCTCAAAGACTCATTTATAAGGCTGCAATTAAAAGCAATGCCAAAAACAGGTCAGCCCAGCTCCTATTCAGTACTTTTCCCCAAAGTTTATTTTTAATCAACACATAATAATTGTACATATTTATAGAGTATACTGTGATGTTTCAGTGGATGTTTGCATTATATAATGTATTTAGCATATCTGTCACCTCATATGCCTGTCATTCTTTGGGGTGATAACACTCAAAATTCTCTCTTCTGACTCTTTTGAAACAACATGGCACTGTTAGCCATGGTCACCCTATTGTGCAGTAGAAATATTACAGAACACAAGAAAGCTTTGTGATTTACTTTAGGCAGACGGTACTCTTCTCTATTCTCACAATCATTATTTTGATGTGATCATTTAAAAAGTAGCCCATTTAAAATAAATCCATTTTAATGTCTCAGAACCTAGCAGAATAAAATAGGAAGATTTAGTTCTTTTTGTCTTCCGTTTTTTCATGGCATGTGTTTAATGCCCTCTTAAGTTTTGTTATCAGAAAATGCCTTCAATTAATCATCTGCATCTCAGTATGAAGTCACTGTATTCCTTCCCTGAAGGAAATTGAAATTGTAATACCATCTCTAATTATTGGAAGAAAGATTGTATGTCATTAGTGGATTTAAAAAACTATATTTCTGGGGCCAGTGTTATGGTATGCATGGTTAAGCTCCCACTTTGAATACCAGCATCCCATATTGCAGTGCCAGTTTGAGTTAAGGCTCTTCTGTTTCCATCCCTGCCACTCTCATGGGCAACCTCTCCCTCTCCCTCTCCCTCTCCCTCTCTCTTTCCTTCTCTTCCTGTCTTCCTCCCTCCCATCTCTTCTCTCTCCCCCTGTCACTGTGCCTTTCAAATAAAGAAATAAATCTTTAAATCTTTGAAAGAAATAAAAGATTAAATCATTTTTAGACAGAGTTCCCATTCACTGGTTCTCCAAATGTCTGCAACAGCTGGGGCCAAAGCTGGGATCTGGGAATGCAATGCAGGTCTCCCACATAGGTGGTAGGAGCTCAGTTACTTGAGCATCATTGCTGTCTCCCAGGGTCTGCACTGGCTGGAAGACAGAGGCAGCAGCCAGAGGTGGGATCAAACTTATGCACTCCCATATGGGGCAAGCATGTCTTAACCACTAGGCTAAACTCCAACTTCCATTGTTAGACTTCTTAGCATCAAAAAGAAAAAAAAAAGGAGTTCTGTTTCCTTTAACATTCCATGTAGATGGTAGCCTGTCTGGCCCATTATTCAGGTCATTATTATGTATATCAAGCTTTTGCTCTGATCCAGTGAACAAAAGTTTGATCCATAAGAAAGTATCAGCTACTTCATTAATAGATCATTTTTATACTAGAAGTATACACGAAAGCATGGGAGATGCATATAGCCAACCAGTACACAAGTATATCTTGAATATAGATTAGTTATAACTACTTTTTAACTCCTCTCCCACTAGCCTGACCAGGAGGAAGCTATATTTACCAACCACCAAAAGGTAGGAAATAAAAACTCACTTGATTATTAATAGGTAATGAGGCAGATAAACTGCTCTCAGGGGTAGCAGCAAAACTGCCATAATTTGCCTAGTATTTTGCAGTTTACAAGTGCTTTCATAATTATCAGGCTCTTAGATTAGTAAAATATCTTATTTGGTGCTCACAGGAACTCTGTAGTTAACAAATCTGTCCAGTTTCATAAGTAGGACATCTATGATAGAAATGATCAACTCCTGAGGTCGCAGAGCAAAGAAATGCCAGAGCCACAGTCAGAACCTAATTGTTCAGACTCCTAGCCCAGTGTTCTTTTGCTCTTTTTTTTTTTTTTTGGACAGGCAGAGTTAGAGAGTCAAAGAGAAAGGTCTTCCTTCAGTTGGTTCACCCCCCAAATGGCCGCTACGGCCGGCACACCACGCTGATCCGAACCAGGTGCGTCTCCTGGTCTCCCATGCGGGTGCAGGGCCCAAGGACTTGGGCCATCCTCTACTGCAACTCCTGGACCACATCAGAGAGCTGGACTGGAAGAGGAGCAACCAGGACAGAATCCGGCGCCCCAACTGGGACTAGAACCCGGTGTGCCGGCATAGCAGGTGGAGGATTAGCCTAGTGAGCCGTGGCACCAGCTTGTTCTTTCTACTTATGCCAAATGCCTTATGCCGCTGCCTCTCCTCATCAATGTGGCTGCTGGAGCAGGCATTTGTAGAATTTCCTTGAACATGAAACTAAGTCCAATTTTATTTCTTTAATAAAAAGCAAGGTGAGAGGCTCAAGAGTGTCTTCTAGTTAGTGGCCTGCTGTGCCCCAGGTTGTGTGAGCATCACCTGAACTCACTACGTTGGGGAGTAGGGTGCCTCTGATTTGAAGAGGGTGATGTTCCCCAGGGCAGAATAGTGCTAAGGATCCTGAATGGTGACCTAGCTGGATGGATGCCTGGATTACCCCTTTGTCTCCACTCCTTCAAGAAGACTGTATCACATCATCCACACTTAGAGAAAGAAGATGGGCCAAAGTCTGAAAAAGAAATGATACCACATCCTGTCTCTAGATTATGTCGATAATTCTGGATGACTCCATGGCCTTAGCTGTGGCCCAAGCTAGAACTGCCAATTCATTCAACAGATACATAGTGAATAATGAATGTCTTCCCTAGCACCAGCCAACACCAAGGCATGTGGCAGTGATATGGAGACAGACAAGATAGACACACTCCCAGCTTTCAATGAGTAGAAACATGAACCGTCAGCTCAACTGTGATTGTCAGCAGTAAAGTAGTAAACTTACACAAATACAACAGGACTTCAAATGTTCATGAGAAACTTCCACTATGAAAAAATTAGGCATGGATTTCAAAAATAAACTCATTTCCATGAGTTTTTTGGAGCCCCTTTACATAATCTACTTTGAAGGATTCAGGAAGGGATTCTCTGAGGAAATTTTTTTTTCTTAGGCCTGAAGAACAAATAAGCATTAGCACGGTTGGGGATGGGGGGACCAGAAGAGGGCCTTCTCAGGACACAAAATGGCATGCAAGATATGGTTTGAAGGAAATTGAAAAAAAAAAAAAAACAGTATGAATGACCTAGAGAGCAAGTGAAAACGTAGAGTAAGTTGGGGCTACTGAGGGGGCTAAGGGAAGAAGATCGCCCTGGATTTTGGAAGATTATATTAGCGATTTTGGCTTTATCTCCCAGTGATGAAGAAGGATTAATGGAGCTAAGCAGGAGACTCACATAATCAAATGTGTGCTGTCACTTAACAAGTCAAGAAATGAGAATTCATGCACCTACCTGACAGGTAACCCAAGTAGGTGAATCTAGAGAGCTCCACAACCTCGAGTGTACATGAACCTTGTGCATGACTAACAGCAGAAGGGGCTCATTAGCCACTGGATAGATCCAAACCCTTGTCTGCAGGCATTACATTTTGATAACTCAAAAGTTGTTTTCCATCAACAACCATCTGTCCTGAGGTCCCAATTCCCTGAGGTCGTTAACTGAGTGACCTGTAACTTGTATCCATCCTGTCACTATGTAAAACTTTTAGAATCATTTGCAATTTGGCTCATTGCTGGCTTTAGTAGTTAGGGGAGCTGGAAGACACTGGGACTTACACAGTTTTGAACTCCGTTTCACAACTGACTGCCGTCATGGCTTTGGCTAAATCGTTTAGCAATCAGGGCCCTAGAATGCTAGAAGTAGGCAGATTCTGTAGGTTGGTATCTTCTGCAGTGTGGAGTGCCTATTTCTACAGGAGCAGAGATGTTTTCACACAGAGTCAAGGTGATGTGGTCTGTTGAAAGCATTGTTACACTCATTAAACACTAAATAACTGCCATTCTTGGTTCAGTTATTTTTCCAGCCTTCTGATTGCATCAGAGAAAAAAATTCTCATTTTTGGTGCTTCTCCAACATTTGCAGATAAACTCTTTTAACAAAGAAATAGCATGCATTAGGTCTTGGGAGCAGCAGAAGGAGCACAGTTGGAGCACAGTAACACTGTTTTCTAAGAGCCCGCGTAACTTTTGATGTGCCATGGGTCAGTATGGTTTATTCCACACTGGGGCTCCAGAGAAATTGGCATTCCTAGCTGTAAGGCAAGCAGGGCTGAATTCCAAACTGTAGCCCAAGGAAGTTTATGATTTGTGCTCGGTAGCACAATTTGATGATCTCCCTGTTTGACCTGTACCAACTAACTTCAGCCGTATCACACTAGGCTACTCTGCATGTTTGCATTCTATAAATATACCCTCGATTTCCTAATCATCTGCATTTGAGGTAGAAACTGTAGCTGATTTGGTGTAAGTATATACATCCATGTAGGTACTTTCAAATGTTCATGGAAAGTGGAATTAGAAGATCAACTCATTTTGGTTGAAAACATTTGAAATCCAGGCATAGGGTTTTCACAATACAAAGTTTCCATGAACTCTCTAAGACCCCTCCTAGAGAACATCTGAGGGAAGTGGGACAAGTTTTGAGGGGCAAAGCAGAAGCTGGTAAGTGAGGACAATGGCACCATGCAGTTAAGAGCTCAAAGGTCGTATTGTTTACAGTTTTCCGTAGGTATTTGCTTTGCTGAACTAAATGTTTACTCTTTGTTACAAAGGTTTACTCTGTCTTCTCCAAGTATCCTTTCTGATTTTGCAGCCATGGTCTTTGAGATATTGAGAGGCCTACTTTCATGAAATTACTGTTTTTCTACTTCTATTTTTGCCCCCTGCACATTAGAGTGATTTAAAATTGGACTGTTAGTGACTCATCAACTAAATTAGAGGGAATCTCCTTTTAGATTTTTTTATTGGCACTAGAATAGTGATTGAAAATTTCTTGACATCAAAACATGGTCATATCATTATGTGTAATTTTCCTTTGAAGCTCAGGTTCTTGATAAAGTGACCCTATTTATGTAAACTTTTTGATTTGTGGTTCCATATGTGCCAGTGTTATTTTTGGCACACCTCCGATGAGAGGTTTTTGTGACAGGGAGTGTATTCACTGAAGTGAGCAA